CACACACACACACACACACACACACACACACACACACACACACACACACACACACACACACACACACACACACACACACACACACACACACACACACACACACACACACACACACACACACACACACACACACACACACACACACACACACACACACACACACACACACACACACACACACACACACACACACACACACACACACACACACACACACACACACACACACACACACACACACACACACACACACACACACACACACACACACACACACACACACACACACACACACACACACACACACACACACACACACACACACACACACACACACACACACACACACACACACACACACACACACACACACACACACACACACACACACACACACACACACACACACACACACACACACACACACACACACACACACACACACACACACACACACACACACACACACACACACACACACACACACACACACACACACACACACACACACACACACACACACACACACACACACACACACACACACACACACACACACACACACACACACACACACACACACACACACACACACACACACACACACACACACACACACACACACACACACACACACACACACACACACACACACACACACACACACACACACACACACACACACACACACACACACACACACACACACACACACACACACACACACACACACACACACACACACACACACACACACACACACACACACACACACACACACACACACACACACACACACACACACACACACACACACACACACACACACACACACACACACACACACACACACACACACACACACACACACACACACACACACACACACACACACACACACACACACACACACACACACACACACACACACACACACACACACACACACACACACACACACACACACACACACACACACACACACACACACACACACACACACACACACACACACACACACACACACACACACACACACACACACACACACACACACACACACACACACACACACACACACACACACACACACACACACACACACACACACACACACACACACACACACACACACACACACACACACACACACACACACACACACACACACACACACACACACACACACACACACACACACACACACACACACACACACACACACACACACACACACACACACACACACACACACACACACACACACACACACACACACACACACACACACACACACACACACACACACACACACACACACACACACACACACACACACACACACACACACACACACACACACACACACACACACACACACACACACACACACACACACACACACACACACACACACACACACACACACACACACACACACACACACACACACACACACACACACACACACACACACACACACACACACACACTCACATTGATTTACTACCAATAATAATAATTATAGTATTTTTTATATCGGTGGTAGCTTATTAGTTCATTACGTCTGATAAAAAACGACTACCACAGCCTATAAACAGGCATAATATCCAGGCATATTTCGGTCCTGGTGATATTTGTTATTAATTTTTGGTTTACAAATGTTTACGGCTTAGTAATTTGACTACTGTATCTCAAATCAATATATAGCACGCAAGCAAATTGATTGACGAAGCGGAGAGATTGTTGTGATGGTGGTGGTTTTTAATCTAGTTAATTCGCCACGAAGAGTTAACGAAACTGCCATTGTCCTTATCGTATCATCCTTCACTGGTGTCCTGCTATTGCATACAATTAGCATATAGGTGGGTGTACTATTCCATCTGTATAAAAGTAGATATTGACGAGATAATGTACTTGCGCAGAGGTTTGATAAAGATCGAAAATCTGTTTTTATATCTCGGCCATTGTCCCTGGAAAAATACGAGGTTTGTCCGGAAAGTACGTATAAAAGTTTTTTAAAAATTTTATTTTACAATTATTCAGGTAAATCAATTTTATCCCCTTCAAAGTACTCCCCCTGTGACATAATGAAGAGTCCTCTGGTTGTAGGTTTCTCAGCTGCCCCGTCGTAGCTTTTTTTATCTCATTTATGTCCCCCAAATGCCGCCCCCGAAGTACCAATTTGGTTTTTGGGAACAAGAAGAAGTCACACGGGGCCAAATCCGGCGAATATATTCGGTCACCGTAATGGAATTTATACTCAAAAACTCACGGACAACAAGAGAGATGTGGGCAGGGGCATTGTCGTGGTTTTTTAACCTCTCGCGCCAATTCGGACGAACTCGTGCCACACGAGCTTAAGGCGGAGCACATGACAGAATTTTCCATCAACTGTCTGGCCTGGAGGGACGAATTCTTGATGGACAATCAACATCGAAAAAAACAATCAACATTGTCTTGACATTTGACAATTTTCTTGATTTTTTTGTTCGTGGTTCATTCTTGCCGATAGAGAAACTTGATTACGACGCGTGCTCTTCAACGGATCTGTATAAAACGGGGATTCGTTAAGAGGTAATAAGATGTACAAGCGCAGAGGCGGTCAGACCAGAACTGAAGCATTGTTAGGGACAAAGGAAGGGGTCCTGCGCTTACCTTTTTATATCTCGCATTCCATTGTCCGAACTTTCCGGAAAAATACATTGTTAAAACCCACTACATACTGTATAGACAACAAGGCAGACAATAGGCCTCCACTTAATCGATAATCGAAACATTATCAATCGAATAACAATAACGAATCCCGATTTGGCAATTCGCGCATCATCGGATTCCTGCATAAATCAATCCAGGGAATGGCACGAGGCATTAGCATCCAACAATTATTACCTTTAACCTTATTTTGACATTTGGCTGTGTCGCAAACGGCCCTGACTACGTGAGATGCGGTCTATCTCTGTTGTTCTATCGATTGTATGGGGAGCCGTGTTTGGGAATTATGATAGTGTGAACGTGGCTTAAGGGCATCGGAGAAAGGTCAGTTGGCCATCTTAGACCAACGCCTCGAGGATATAATGCTATACGGATGCGCGAAATATATATAAAATAATACTAAATATATTACTTATTTAATACTTTATTGTACACACTAATTATACATAAAAATATGACAGAGGTAATCAAATGTACATGTAAAGGCAATGTAAAGGCGAGTTTACTTTAAAAGAGTTCTCTTCCAGCAACACCCAAAGTGGAAAAGAGCATTAATGTCAGCGGGTAGAACAGTGTGTGACATACTGTGACAATTTTCAAAGAAGAAGAACTAAACAAACTTAATATTAAATATATTATTATGATAATTATCTTACAATTTTTTTGACGTACAAAATATTGCCGTTCTCAATATATCTAATTTTTTTTTTCCTGGAAAATAAGCAAGCGGTCCGTCTAATAAAAAACGGTTGCGAAATCTTATGAAAGCCTGCAATACCAGGCGTATGACGTGCACATTATCAACCCTTAAGAAGCCTTATTACGCACTTTTTAAAGAATCCCTCGCAGTAGTCTCTACGGTAAATGTCAGACAGGAAGAAAACTCTGCTCAGACAGGAGGGAACTTCTCTGAAACTTCATGAAAAAGTGACCACCATAATATTATTTAAATATTTCCAAATTATCTGTCATTCAGGTGACAAGATGTGCAAACTCCTACCCACTGTTGGATTCAAATTAATTATACCTACTTTCTCTACCTTCCCGGCATAGAATAGGTTACCCCTTCCTTTCCCGTGGGTGTCGTAAGAGACGACTAAGGGAACTTATAGTCGAGGGATAGGCAGCAGCGTCCCTTTAATATATCATTAAGGCCTAACTGTGGTTGCCACTGTACCTGCCAAGCATGCTACGCTACTTGCTACTACTGGCTAAACACCACCCAATTATGAGGGAAGGGAGGCCTATGTTCAGCAGCGAACAATTAATGGCAGATATGGTATGGTAATTACCTCTATTTATAATTTAATGTGACATTATTCAATGCCATACATTATGACACTAATCGATACATCTCTCCCCATTGTCACTCGATACTCGATGACGCAACACTAAAAATCACACTATGATAGTTTATCTAACAATAACATCAAAACAAAGTCAAAAGTGTATGACCTTTGTGCTGATTTATAATATTCAAAGTTGCGAGATCGACTCGAATATAGAAATAATTCGAGAATTATAATTGTTTAGCGCGTATTGTACCGTGTCTGTCTGTCAATCATTTCGCTTTCGACTGTGATCTACATTGAGCTTTTGTACCCCTTATGCGATAAAGAACCAAATAAAAAAAAATATTGGGTAATTATCATGTTTATTCTTTTTTTGAAATTATAATTTAATACAATAAATTGATTACAATATAATTCAATATAACATATATAGTTGTCGGATTTTTTTTATCATAATTTATTAATATAATATTAATTACGCATTAGTGTATTAAAACAAGAAAAAAATACAGTCTATTTGAGAACTATTTATTTTTTTATTTTATTTTGCGCTAACGCATCAAATATAGATATACCCAATAAATACTATTAATCGGTAATTGGGTAAACAAGTAATAATAAAATATATAAAAAAAATATTTTTTATTATTATTTACATACGTAAATTATAAATAGATTTACAATTATGTGCTTATTTAATCATTATCAATTCTTTATCTTTTAAAATCACTACTTTTTTTTTAATATTTGTCGAAAATAATTTCTCTTTTATTTTTCAAATTTAGAAGTCGGTTCCGTCCTGTATTATTCATCGCCGACGTCCTCGCGGTATTTGTCAATGTGGCTCAGGGTGGGACCGTATAATGCTGAACGTGATCGATGGGATGGCCGCTTGCGCAACCTCTCGTTAGTTCGCGACGCCCCACAGACTCTACGGGTCCACGGGTCTACAGTGGAGTCTAGAGCAATTTACAATAATACAGTCTCATTAGTAGAGATGGGCAATCCACCTGGGTGGGTTTAAAGTCTGGTGGGTAAAAACCGGGTGTTTTGGGTTTATTGGGTTTAAACCCCATAAACACCCAAATTTTTGGGTGTTTATGATTTTGTACTTCATCATCGTCATCTCAGCCGCAAGACGTCCACTATACTGGACATAGACAATATTATTATGCAGCCTACAGAATAAAAAACTTTTAATTTGATTTTGAGTTTATTAAGAAAGAGATGAAAGTAAAATGTAAAACTACAGTCAATCACTGTCAGATTCAGAGTTATTACAAGCGATGAATTGTATAGGTTCGATAGGCTCTATTTCGTCTAAACTGTTATGTTCATTTACTTGCTCAATGAAAGCTTCTAAGGTATTTTCTTCATTAAACTGAATGTCCTCGCATTCAGCTTTATGTTTAAGATTCCAGTTATAACAAATGAATGAAATTTTTTCAGTTCTTTCAGTTGTAAGTCGATTTCTTTTGTTATTATGTATGTAGCCTTGGATACTAAAGGAACGCTCAGTGGCTGCCGAAGTACAGGGAGCTGATAGAATACGAATCGCTACTTTGCTTAACTCAGTGGAACCACAAATACCTTTCCACCATATTAGGGGCTCAATGCTATCTAATGAGCTCCATACAAATCCTCTGGCCCAAAAGTTTTCTTTAGCTTTATAACACGCCAAATCTGCCATTACATTTGACAAACTTAAGTGTTGGCTTAAATTGTAGATAAACTCCATACCCTTAAGTTCTTCCTCTTGAGTAAGTTCGACTCCTAGAGTCCTGGGGTCTAGAATATATGCTGCAAAATGTATTGGCCTCATTGCCATATTGCATCTTGAAGATACTGATGTTAGAATCTGCTGTTTGCTTTCTTCGCTCAATGTCGAAATCTCATTTAATGCAAAACGTATCTTAGCTTGTACATCTCTAAATGTAATGTATGTGCGATGCAAACGATTCTGGTCGCTCTCTAAGTAAAATATGCTTTCAGTGACTGGTTCCAAAATACTTATACATTCCCCTGTCTTCGTCCAGAAATCATCACTTAGAATTAAATCTTTAATATCTCTTGAAATTACCACATCTTCTCTAACTGTTAATATTTGCAAAGCTATCTTATTTGCTTTCAAACTTTTTAACGAAGTAACATGACTTCCCCATCTTGTAGCACAAAGCAATTTTAGTGTTTGTGTAGAATCTTCACCCTGCCTTGATTTTATCAACAAGGAACTTAATCGTTGACTCCTTTTAACAGTTTTTATTATATTTATGGCTTGCATAATAAACACAGTTACTTCTTGTATCTTTACAATATCTTGGCACAACAAGTTAAGGATATGTGCACAGCAACCGAGAGGAACAACATGTGGATATTTGAGTTTTGTTAATTCGAATGCCTTTTGTATATTTCTAGCGTTATCGCCAATAAGTACAAGAAACTTATTTGCTCCATACACTTTCATTACTTTTTCAACTTCTTGGCTAAGGTATTCACTAGTGTGAGGATTACTTTCTGTATTCAAACTTTTAACGTATGCAGGTTGAGGTTTTGATATAAGAAAGTTTATTATTCCTTCATTTCTTAAATTAGACCAGCCATCGCACTGAAGGTGTAAGTAACTACAAGCATTTAGTTCCTCATTTAACTCAAAACGCATTTCTCTATATATTTTATCTAAGTATTTTGTCGCTAAAGCTTTACGTGAAGGTATTTTAAATTTTGGTTGCAATTTTTCGAAAAATTGTATCCATAAAGGATGTTGCACCATCGATAATGGCGTCCCTGTTACAAATATAGCTCTCGCTAATTCTGTTTTTATATGATCATCGGTGTCTTGAAACTCAGCATTTATTGTAGTGTTAGCAGACGACGAGGGGCTTATAAAAGAATCATTTGTCTCTATCTCTGACAGTCCAGACATTTTGGTTTTGGACGAGCTATCTTTTATAAGTTTCATAGAGTCTTTTAATGTTTCTGGAGATTTTGGACAAGTGATAAGATGTTGAAGCATTTTGGCAGCATTACTGAATTTGTAGACCTTATTACAAAGCTTGCAAGAAACAGACTTGTTTGGTAAAGTACGGTAGTGCTCCCATATGCGTAAATCTTTAGGTCTCCCCATTGAACCTAAAAAAATGAACGATGATTAGTTGGTCTGACGAAAATTCAACAATAGAGTGCCTATTTTTTTACAATGATTATTTCTTGTTATTTACAATAAATTTATTAAAAAAATAATAAAATAAATACAAAAAACCTTTATAAAATTACATCTCCTCGGAGGATTAAACGCAGACGCTAGTTTATTATCGTATTGTTCTGTATTTTTCTCAGCAACTTCTTTAATTCAATTAGGTACTTACGCATATTATGTTAAAAATAAATATCTAGTACACATCTTAGGCTATCCACCATTATTATCCAATGACGACTCTCAGCTAACTATGCACTATCATCCAAAATAAACGTGTATGGAAAATTTTATCCCAGTCGGTTGAGGATTGAGGATAATTGCATCAACATACGAACATACCTACATACTTTTATTTACATAACGCAAGCTAAATAAAAGCTTGTAATAATACATCTAATTTTAAGTTAAAATTGTTAAGTGATCATGATATAATTGTATCATTCAAAAATCCACTTACCTTTAATTATTTCTTGTTAAGTATAAATATTATTTCAAATCTGCTCCCTTAATATGCACTTTTTTACTGCTTTTCCTACCTAACACGTTACCAGGAAGTCACGTTACCAGAGTCAGAGTAATAGTGAACACGTTTGACAGTGATTGTCGTCGCCTCATATTCAGCGTCGACGAATAGGGGAATCCCCAGTCATAATGTATTGCATGCGTGGCGGTCTTACTTCAAATCCATAAACAAAGAGATAATTACAGAACTCGATACTAGATGGCGCTGTTTTTGTTTGAAGAAAGTTTGCGGGCTAAAATACATAGAATTTCATCAATGACTTCCACAAAGAACAACATTTCTGTTTTTTCTAAGTCCGTATCTCTTCCGTATATTTCATAAGATATAAGCTTGGGCTACATTGTTATGCAACGTGATTTTGTCGCTGTCTTGCTAGCAGGGTTGACAGATATACGATTTAAATCGTACTCATACTATTATTTGTCTATTTTTTAATGTACGATCGTAAAGATTATGATCGTAATTCGCACAAAAACATACGACTTTTTGGTTACCTGGCAACATTTTTATTATGAAACGAACATGCTCACATCATCAGTCACATGCAACAATTTATTGGGGATTTCCCCTTCACATCTGGCAGTCCTGCTTGCTAGAATATAGGTAAGTCAGCCACAGTTACTGACGATCGATATTTAAAGGGTATTGTTTTTGTGCTAAATATTTCATAAAAACGTTATTTAATACTTTGTGGATTATTAATTTAGTTGATAATCACTGGAAGTAAAATGGATGCTAATTTGAGAGATCAAGATCTTCGTATAAAACAGTTAATAAAAGAAAATCTACGTAAGTACTCTTTTTATACCTAGGTAGGTAAGGTATAATAAACACAAAAGGTACTTAGATCGCGTGTGTTCGAAGCATTTATTCTAATAAATTTAATTTAAAATTGTAGAAAGAAAAAAATGTCTGCCAAGCCGTAGCCGAAGCCGATCTCCAAATATATTTGGCGATAGTGAGACCCAGTGTCCAGATGATTTACCCAGCGTCGTCGCAACAAAGAAAAAAAACGAGGATAAAGTAAAAGAAAATTTACTGAAAGAAGAAACAAACTGTTCTAAATGCTTAATTTATGGAGAAGAGGATAAAAGAAATGAGTATTTCGGACTGTTAGTGGCTCAAGAATTTAAATATATACGGCCATGTGTGCGAACGAGGTGTTATGAAGAAATTTTAAAGTATCTACGGGAAGCAAAAGGCCAACATGTTGATCAACTGCAACATGAAAACACTGAAAATTAATTACTTTCATTTTATTATATATAGATTTTTAAAATTTCCTGAAATATTATTAGTTAACGTTTTATTTAATATTGTAGAATTGATCAATACAATTTATAAAAATAATTTATTGGTATTACTTACATATTTTCAAAAAAATACGTAAGAACCTATTTTTTTGGGTGATTATGGGAGTTTATGGGTGTTTATTGGGTTTTTACCAAAGCACCGGGTTTAAACCCGGTGCTTTGCCCATCTGTACTCATTAGTGATAACTTTATTTTTTAATGTAAGAACACCTGGATTGATTATTACGTGTATTTTACTCTTAGTTTCCGATGATACCGAAACTAGTCGAGCCTTCCCGATTAAAATACACGTAAGTCATTCAGATTGTTTCTACTCTTAAATATATTGTATGCTCATTCGAATTTAGTGCGTACGCCAGTTGACCTCATTTCACAGAAAAACCCTCGCATTAAGTGGTCAAGTCAGATTTTTTAACCATAGTCAATAAATTTATCAAAAACTAGCGATCAGCTCCGGCTTCGTGCGGGTAGATAGATAGAAAAACAAATTAGTATTTTAAATTAGCTTTAAAAGGAAAAAATTGATGCCTTGGGTTACATTATTGTAATTTATATAGATTTTTCATTTTTTTAATAACATATATATATATATATACATATATATACATATATATATTATAGATCATTGTTTCTCAACCATTTTTGTGTTGCGACAAAAAAAAGCATAGTGCGAAAAAAATGACAGGTGAATAATTAATAGTCTTTTCTATATTTTGAGGTCTTATTATTTTTCGACAGACTGCCACCCAAGGTTGAGAAACGATGCTAAAGACGATTTTTTTTTTATATTGGCTGGGTTTTGAATTCATTCATTACAAACATACAATAATATAATCATATATTATTGTATCCTAATAGATATTAAGAATCTTTGGCAAAAATATATTTCAATCGTTCGTGCATTTTCACGTAATTATAATGCATGTATAGGGGTTAGGTCAGCTGCATACGATCGTGTGCTCGTGACGTCCGGGCGTCCGTCAGTGGATCGCTCCCACGGACCGCTTCGCACCATGTATCCACTGTATTTATTGATCATGTATATTATTTATCGATGCCAGATTTGTGAATCATCTTTTTTAAGTAACTTTTAGAAATAGTTTCTTATTTTGTTTACCTATATGTTACGTGATATTGTTACCAATTCTTTACCTATTATTTTGTTTATTTTTTTTGCAAAACATAACTATTGTGGTAATAGCAATGTATTTAAAAAACTAAATTGTTCCTCTATTAGGTCTTTAACTAAGAAATTATCAATATTTAAAAATGGCTAGTCTAAAGATTATTTTATAGTACTTATAATTCAATCAAACAATCTCCTAGCTATTTTACTATTTTGCATCATCTCGAGTGTTAAGACCATCGTAAGTAGATCGAGAGATTTTATTTAGAATTCTAAATTCAAATTAACTTTATAATATCGGTCATCATATTTTTTAAATTAGATGTTTTCCAAATTCAAATTCACTTCATAATATGGCATGTCTTTAAAAAAAATATTTATTTATTTTCCCGCCATTCGATTTTTCTTTGATACAAATACTGTAATACTCGTATTCCTATAGATCTATAGTCCATGCTTATTGTTGCAGTTCAAGTCAAGATATCATCAGGTTGACCGTAAGCTTGTTTGCTATGCTAGGCTTCTTAAAAAAAGATACATGAAACATCAGTTATGCATTCTAATCCACTAAAGCACCATATAAATTACCTCATTTCTAAGATGCAGAGTGTATTGATAAGTATTTATAGAGCATTATAGGAACCGCGAGAGTCCGGCAGTTCGACACGACCATCACACACGAACTAAAATAAAAGCTTGTGTTTTACAGTTAGCGACAAGAAGACATTATTGTTTCTTAATTTGTTACGTCACGGATAACTTAATAATATTTTAGCTGTATCCTATAGTTTTATTAGCGTGAAATTAGTTTAAAAATAAAATAAAAATTTTGAGCCTCAGGAATGGGATGCATGTGGGTTCCCGTGTGGTCCCGGCATACAATGGGCCATCCCTTTCTTTCCTGTTGGTGTCGTAAGAGGCGATTAAGAAAACTTTATAATCAAGCGATGGCAACTACTGGCAAAACCGTTCAATGGCAAAAGCAGTGTATGGGGCAAGCTTTTGTGCAGTAGTGGATAGTTAACGGCTGATATGAATGTCTATAGATAATGGTCACTTTTCATTAAATAGGCCATTAACTCAGATTACATTTTTATATATTTTTTTTTTAATTTCATTTGCTTGAAATTAGAAGAGAGGAAATTTTAAAATGACTGGAAGTTGAAATTCTTTTGATGAGTGAAAAGTCTATGGACATATATTTTAGTATATGTCATGTTTTATATTAAATAAATAAAATAAATAAATAATAAGTCTTTTATGCTTTATATTAGTATATATATCTTTTTAAAGAAACTGTGCACAGATAGACCAGAGAGTGAACTAGGAAACAATGAAATCTAAATCACACATTCATCCACGTACTTTATCGTCATTGTACGACGTGAAATTCACAAAAGCATAATCAAAAGCTATCTAATAACCGCGGGGTTTACGTAAAGGGTAGTTACATACGAGGCAATCGCGCGGCCAACCAAACAACGCGCCATAAACGCGGCGTTTTACGAGCGTTTTCGCTTTCGCGCTATTTGCAATAAATCAGCGACGCCACGGTGTGGGCGACGGTATTGGTGCGACCGGCGCGTCACTCCGAATCATGGTCATGCTAGGTCTGTCTAGACTGGCGTTTCTTTATCTATTTATGAGTTTTTATAGTATTATTAGTTTATTTTTGATTTTTATATGAAGCTACCAATCTATATCGGTGTCACATGGTACAATATTTTTATTATATCTTGTAAAGTTTGGTTTGTACTAATTCTATATAGATCTACTGGCGTGTTCTTTTTAATTTTCATCTATTTATGGTATCTGTTTAGAATAATTTTGTGGCCTGAGACTATATTTATTTTGAAAAAAAAAAACAGTTGATGTTTCTCATATTCTCAGTGGCATTGATGTGACTGGCATGCCACTCCGATTGTGGTCATGCCAGGATATGTAGACTGGCGTTTTTCTTAATTATCATTTCTTAATAACATCGATTTATGAGTTTTAATTATTTTTGTAGTTCGATTTTTAGTAGTTAAAATTTTCAATTAACGTTTATTATACTCTCAACGGTATTGGTGCTACCGGCGCATCACTATCAATCATGGTCATGAAAGGAATGTTAAAACTGAATTTTTTATTGTAGTAACCATTCATTTATGATTATTATTATTTAATTTGACTTTTTGGACAATGCAGCCATACTACATTCAATAGAAATTTCAGTTAACATATTCCATGTCTAAAATAGGTTTGATATTTCCGACTTCTTTCAATATAGAATGTATATATTTATGAAACTTGGACAATAATATTTTTGTATTACATTCGTTAAATGAAATAGAATTATATTTAATTTGATGAATGTGATACGAAAGGAGGTATCATTTTAAATGAGACAAGGACTGCATTCTATTTTTTATTCTAATAATTCCAAATATTGACTGTAGGGATAGCTAGATAGATAGATACTTTTTATTATTTCCTCCAAAAAGATTACAATAGTCGATTTATTATAAATAAAAACAATTTCAAGAAATGATCACACAAAAGCGATCTCTTCCAGGCAACCTTTAGATGAAAATGAGTAGTTATAAACAGTTTGATTGGAGACACTATTAAAATTCTGTTATTTTAAATGCATATAGAGATGTAATACATGTAATAATGTAAATACTACTCACTATCATATATATATGAGATACTATTAACATTAACATTTTGCATCATATTTTTTTAGATAATATTATTATATAAATTGATAAATAAAAACGAGCGTTTAGAACGCCGGACTATTCACCCCGGTAACGGGACAAATTTCACTCCGGCGCCGTCGTTCGTACGTCGATTCCCCATTTTACTGTCAATACAAGTAAACGTCTCAATTTAGTACAAACCAATATAACTTAATATGTTGGCTAGGTACAATTGTAGACAATTTCACTTTATTTATGAATTAGCCAATTCCCATGACTTTATACTCGTACAAGTGGAACATCGTCATCAACATATCATCTACTACTATTTGTCCCCTTAAATGGTACATACGTTATATACTTTTTTATTTAACGATAAGGAACGTTGGTTAAATTAAAAGTTCGTTTCGTTGTGGAACATGTTTAGTTTCATCTATTATTATATTAACTGTGGTTCTACCTAAGAACACTTAATTTTTAAACGA